CTTAAGTCGCAAAGAAATTAAGGTTTTTGAGGAAAACATTCCAGGATTTTTCTCCATATAATGGACTTCAATGGGGACCAACGGGCTGAAGGTCCACATTGCCGTTTCAGTGCAGCTTCAAAGGGCTCTACACGATCCCAGCCGAGGAATACGGGTCTTATCTAGTGAAACGATCATTCATCTTCTAAAAAATTAAATAAAAAAATGTATACTTTTTAACCACAAATGCACGTCTTGCACTAGCTCGACTTCACGTCACGTTGGAAAGGTCACGCGCGGTTATCTCATTTTCTCCTCCAACTTCAAAATCGTCCGACATTTTTTTGTAAAGGGCGTTTGAAATTCTTTGCACATTCGCTTTGTAAACACTGGGTCGGTGCTTCCTCCTCCGTCACACGTGACCTTTCCAACGTGATTACATAATACGTGAAGTCGAGCTAGTGCGAAACGAGCATTTGTGGTTAAAAAGAATATAAAATGTTTTGGTTTTTGAGAAGATAACTGATCGTTTCACTAGATAAGACCCTTATTCCTCAGCTGGGATCGTGTAGAGCCCTTTGAAGCTGCACTGAAACTGCAATTTGGACCTTCAGCCCATTGGTCCCCATTGAAGTCCATTATATATCGTCGCGACTGAAGAATGAATGACACAAACATTTTTGATGACATGGGGGTGAGTAAATTATCAGGAAATGTTTATTCTGGAAGTTAACTAATCCTTTAACTACAGTAACCCTGGATTTTTGGATTTATTTGTTGTAAACCCATGGTTAATTTTCATAAGGGAATTTAATAATAATTAGCCTTTAGCTTTGAACTATTTCAGTTTTTGTTTAAAAAAAAACTTAAACATGAAACACTAATAAAAAGTACATTTCTAAGAACTCTTATATATCAGAATCAGAATCAGAAAGAGCTTTATTGCCAAGTATGTTTGCACATACAAGGAATTTGTTATAGTGTCACAAGCTTCCAGTACACAGAGACAACAACAACACACAGATGTGAGTCCTGGTAGGGATGCACATGTCTTCACAGAAACACAGAAACTATATGAATAGTTACTCATAAATGCTAGAATGTCCAGACATAGCTATAACAAAATTTTTTTTTCCAATAATCATTCTAATTCTATGAGAATTGTGAAGTTCATACTACAGCTAGCTGGTGTATGTATGTTATGTAGTAACAGTTTTCTAGCTGGTGAACGTTAAAAACATTCACAGCTAATCAGAATTCACTTTTTATGAGAGATGCTGAACATATATCAGCATGTCAAGTGGTATTAAAATTCATAACCTACACATTTAAGCTTAAACCTAATTTTACACTGAGGTGCAAAACTTGGCTGCTTTAACCATTTCAACATTCCCGCCTGCAGATGGCAGCGCTACTTGCGGTCAGTCAATGCAGTATGAGATGGTTAACCCTTTCTGCTTACTTAAAAATTCTATAAGCACTTGTTTTATTAGTTAAGGTCAGACTAACTTGTCCTTGACACACAAAAAAGTTCTTGACGCAGAGGAAATGGTGAACACTAGCAGATCTGAGAACACGTTGAAATAATTAGCAGTTTACTGACAAACATCTGTTTGCTTTCCCAGCTGTTAATTTTAATTGACAATTAAAACATCCGAAAAACAAATGACCTTGTAAATGTACATAACTTTCGTAAAATAGGCCGTAAGCACATTGAAGTATAAGAATTTCACACATTTTATCTCTTAATATACAGATATATTTATCTACGAAGAAATTCATGTGAATTCCTCTAAAGGTTTATGAAAGTTCATGTATTTTGTGGGTGGGACATTTCTGCCATGCAAGAAAAAAAAATCTTGCTTTAGTAAACCATAATTATGAGAAGTCGTAATTATGAGATAAAATGCATAATTATGACTAAATAAAAATTTGGAAATAAAAAGTAAATTACGACTGTTAAAATTATGAAATACAAAGTCATAATTACGACAGTCGAAATTATGAGATAAAAAGCGAAATTATGAAAAAATGAAATTAGATTACAATTTATCTTTTTTTTAACTTCGTAATCTCAATTTTGACTTTTTATCTCTCTGACTTGGCATCTCAACTCTGAGATATGTCTTGTGTCACAATTATGATTTAGTAAAGCATTATTTTTTCTTATATGGCAGAAATGAGCTTCCATACACACAGGCCCACAGCAGGCTTGAGTTAAATGTAATGGCTTCCTATAATCTGGGATTTGAAAGAAAAACGTCCAAAGTGAGTCTCCTGAAACCGTCCCAACACAGTGGGGCGAAAAAGATCCACATGTATGGCTTCCCAGCAACTTCCTCAGTCAAATCTGGAAACTTCATGTCACGAGACAAACCTTAATCCACATCATACGTATCAGACAGACATTCAAACAAAGATAAACAATACATAAAACATCTACTGAAACATTGAATGCAGAAGAATGGTATCAAACCATGCACCTAGAATTACAGCAAAAATAACAGCAGGGTCGCTCTTCACTGCCTTAAATCTAAAACCATCCTGATCACAATCATTTGTAAAACATGTGGATGAACCCAAAACACAGAGCTATACCTCTACTGCCACTATAACCCTTGTAATGATCTTCTGTCTATTTCCATTCTTTTTTAATATTACTAACAGAAGTGTAGCAATTAGTTATTTTTCCTGACATGTTTGTTTAACAAAAAGACAAAGCTGATGCCGATGAGAGAACAACTATCAAGGTTTGTTGCTTTGGCTCTATCATTAGCAGCAACACTGCATCTATTTGGGCAGTTGTCACATAATGGTTTCATATTGTGCTGACTAAGAACAGGAGAATGCACTCTCCTTCAGACAGGTTTATCAAGACAGCCGGAGGTCACACAGCTCCCGCCGCTAGCAACCTGGGAAAAAGGCAGCAGGATTTAAGGAGTACACACTATTACTGTGTACCGTTTCTTTCTTATCAAAGCACGTAAATCATGACGCACATAAATTATGGCAGGTACTGAGTGCATCTTTGTCCTAAGCCATGATTGGAGGTTTTTGCCCATGCCCATGATGCCAAGTTATTTCTACAAGGTATGTACTTTACAATGTGCAGGACTGGAAATATTCCAGATGAAAGCGATAGTTCACCCAAAAATAAAAATTGTCATCATTTACTCGCCCTCATGTTCCAAACCTGTGTGACTTACTTTCTTCTGCAAAGCACAAAAGATATATAAATGTTTCTACTGTTTTTGTATATAATGACAGCCTGTGGGGTCCAAAACTACAATGGACCCTATTGACTTTCATTTTATAGACAAATAAGTCAAATTTTATTATTATTACAGCTTTTGTTATGAGATAAAAATGATACAAAAATTATGAGATAAATTTAGATAAATCCAAATTATGAAAAGTTGAAACTGAGATTTCAATTTCAATTAATCATAATTCTGGCAAAAATGTAACTTATGAAAAGTCAAAATATAAGCCCAAATTGAGATTTCTCAAATGCAATTATTCAGATTTATGACTTGTCTAAATTTTGAGATAGTATCACAATCGTAACAGTAGTCATAATTTTGACTTAAGTTTTTGTCAGAATTATGAACATCACAATTCTGACTTTTTTCATAATTTTGCTTTTTAGCTCGTAATTACAAATGAACTTTTGACTTTTTAGCTCATAATTATTACTTTTTATCTTATGTCTTACCTCATAAACATGACCTTTTATCTCATAATTTAAACTATGTAAAAACAAACAAAAAATTATGGAACAAAAAAAAATAAGAGATAATAAGAGAAAAAAATAGAGAGAGAGAGAGAGAGAGAGAGAGAGAGAGAGAGAGAGAGATTATAAAATGTTATGTTCCACAGGTTTAGAACTTCAGGGTGAGTAAATAATGACAGAATTTTAATTTTGTTGTGAATTATCCCTCTAAGCTACTGCATACTGTCCATTACCAAATAAAGTACCACATGGACTTACATTGCAAGTGCATAAATATTAACTTATGGAGTTAATTAATTATGGAAACTGGTAGATTACAGTGAAATACACAGGTTTCGGTACAGTTTAACTTGTATTTAACCTGGAATATTACTTGAATGCAAAATGATGCAATTTGCACAGTGACTGAAACGTTTGGAATTTGCAATGATAATGTGATTTCTCTCATCCGGAAAGGTTCATCTACACCAATGTGTATTTGTTTATAAGAAAAAATGCTCAAAAACAACAGAAGAAAGTAAGTAACCCAGAGTAGAAGGAATGGCGTGATACTAGAGAAACATATAATGAACACGCCAGCGCTCGGGAGACTTAGACTAATGAGGAACAGTTGCCAGTGAGGTAACCAGCTGTTTCCGAGAGTCACACGGTGATATAATCAGGAGCAGAAAACCTTTAGTAAAAGAAACGTTTTTGCATCCGCATTAAACTGAACGGACGTTTGTGAACATGTTACAGGCCTAATACAGATAACCTCCGTTACAGAATGCATTCTTAAAGTGATGCTCGTGGTAAATTAATTATAATCAAAATATAACATCCTTGTAATGCCACTGATAAAGGTTTAAGAATCAGTAAAAAGTCTTACTCCAAGTTATTAGAAAAGCAAGGTAAAGATTGGAATAGTACAGAATATAATCTCTCAAAATAGTAGCAATATTGACTGATTGCAGCCTGAGCGCTTACAGCATAAAAGCACTATAAAAGAGGAAGAGGAAGTCGAACAGCCATTAAACTGATAGTGTGTCCAATCTTCCCTTAAGAGGCAGCAGTACGGTTTCATCTACAAGATGATTGTAATCTACAGGGCACGGAGTCAGCAGATGAAGATGTCGCGTCACTGTCCGTTTAGTTTAATGTGTCTTTGTGCACTCAAGCCTTTTAGCACTGTGTCTTTTTCCGGTTTCGAGATTGCATAGAAAAAGCACCGTGTTGTGCTCAAAGACATCAGTCATAAGATACAAAGCATGTGAAAGTGACCGAACATGCCTCGTAAGCGAAATAAAAACAAGGCACGACTATTCTAAGATACTCAAGTGTGCAAAATGAAGCTCAAGTTCAATTATCTTAAAAGGGGAGATCATTTTCAGAGGATCCTATAGGTATTTTGCAGGATATGCATAGTCAAGAGACACAAATCAGTGTGCTTCGCTACCAAATTCACGTTGGCACTTCTGCTCAAGTCGGTACAGATGCGATCCGTTGCATTTGGTTTATTTGTTTTTCCAGACATTCGATTACAGAGAGGGCTTGATGCATTCCCACTGTGAATCATGGAGCATTTTAAAACAGCAGGATCAAGACGCTTGTCTGTCTCGATTCATTTTTGTGCAAAACGTTTTATTGTTCGACGCTCTTTCAGCTGCTGTGGTTTGGTCCTTTATCCCTCTGTAGTCTGTCCGCTCCGCCTTAGTTGTTTGGTGTCGGCTGGTTCACGATGACCTGGATAACAAAATCCTTCTGGATCTTGGTGTCCTGCAGGCGGGTCTTGTCTGTGAGGAGCTTTCCAGAGAAGAACCAGCGTTGATGGGCCAGCTCAATGTTCTCCTGCGCTTGTAGCTGCTTTTTCAGCAGGCCGATGGTGTCGGTCATGCTGGCATTCAGACGCAGGTCTTTGCCGGTGGAGAGCCGTACCTTCAGCTGGAACTCTTTCTTCTGCGTCGTCAGGGGCTCAGGGTTGTCCGACAGGTCTTCCTCACTTCTTTCTGTAATCAGGTTGACCGGCGGGGCCAGGCAATAAACCGGTAGCTGGTAGCGGTTGCCGAGTTCGTCGTAACACTCGGTCAGGGATCCTGGAGTGATTGAAAGTACAAACAATCGTCAGTGATGGGGAAATAAAGTGCTACAGGTATAACAATGAGGGTTGATGTGTGTTGTCATTTCTTTTGTTTTCATGTCATTAAATACTTCTTCATTATGGTAAAAACTTCCCCTCTGGACCGATAATAAGGGTTAGGTTATAAAAAAACAGTAGGGTATTTAAAAGGATAAATGTTTATTTGATTAAAAAAAATTTCTAATAAATACACAAATATTTTAATAAAAACATTTTATTAAAATATTTGAAAATAGTCAAAGATACTTGAAAGTAATCAAACATTTCAAAGTTTGTGCAGACACTTTAGTGATGACAAAAAGCATTTGATCTTTTGTCATTTAACCAATCGCAACGTAATTTTAAATTTGCAATGTAAATTTAAGTTGCCTTATTTTATCATCTGAAACATGCTGCAATTATTCCAAAGCGATTTGCGCATGTAAAGGTTGTGGTTTAACGTGGATATTGAGACACGAGTGAACTACAAAGTCTTATTTACCTAATAAATAACAAGTATTGCAACCCAAACGTTACATGGCGAATATGGACACATTTGGATTCATAACAAATGAGAGATCCACCCACTTGGATTAGGCCATATGTCTGCTTTAACCTTTATTTAATGAGATGCTCTCCTAATTAAAAAATAATAATAATAATTTCACCACTATTTTAACAAGATCCTATAAGTTATTCCACTGGACAACAGATGGACTCTCGTTTCTCTTCCCAATTACTCATGTCTTACCTTCTGCGGGTTTTTTTGTTTGTAAATGACGGTAAATATCGGTCAATGCAACAAGAACAAGAATTGACTGGTTTGTGCGTTAGTACAAAAATATTTTATTTCTTGGGTTTCGGTTTTTGAGCTCTCCTCAAATTCAGCTTGAACACAGTTTGGGCCTGACAGCAGATGGACTCTCGTTTCTCTTCTCTTACCTCGCTACTCATGTCTTACCTTCTGCGGGTTTTTTTGTTTGTAAATGACGGTAAATATCGGTCAATGCAACAAGAACAAGAATTGACTGGTTTGTGCGTTAGTACAAAAATATTTTATTTCTTGGGTTTCGGTTTTTGAGCTCTCCTCAAATTCAGCTTGAACACAGTTTGGGCCTGACAGGCATGGTAAGGCAAGTCAGGTTTATTTGTTTAGCACATTTCCCACATGCCGGTAATTCAGTTTCGGTTTAAATTCATTTAGGCTTTTGGTGTTTAAAATAAATATTGTTTATAATGAATGCCACTATAATTTGTGTACTTCATAATTATATTTTTTATTCTTGTTCTGTTTACTAATTAATTTGAAGGATTTTTGTGAAATGAGGGAAACTAATATACTTTTATAGCGTTAGTACATTTTTGCATTTTTTTTACTGATATTTTACATTATTTCTGAATGTAATAATAAAATGCGACTTAAGCACTGGTGTAACTTGTTTTTCTCTCAACAATGCAATTTAGGGTTACACTTTATTTTAAGGAGTCCTTATCGATATTAATTAACAACACACTTACTACAGGGTCAGGATTAGGGTTTGTTATTGTTATGGTTAGTTGCATGTAATTATGCATAATGTGCTGTTATTACAACAGTAAGCACATGTAATGTAAAATGAAGGGTTTTGACCCAATTTTGACCAGGTGTGACTTTTTTCAAGTCAAAATGGTAAATTAAATTTAGCTTATTGCACAATATAGCACCTCGTCACTGCGTTTGTTTAATGAAAAAGAGCAGCATGAACATTTCTCATTTTCTGTTCCACAGTTGCAGACAAAGCTGGTTTCATCACAACCAATCGGTGACATGGCACTTCAGTGTAATGACTCTCACCGTGTGGTAATGTGATGTTGGCTCCGTCCACGATAGCCTGAGCCAGTTCATGATCGTTACACTCCAGAGCCAGAGCGGCGGCTTTCAGGGCGTCCCAGATCTCCTTGCGCCCCTCGAACGCTGGAGCCGTGTCCCAAAACTCATCTCTCTTACTGCGGAGCTGGCCCTCCGTCATGGGGTAATCGCTCTTCCATTTCAGCTTGTCTTTCTTCAGCGGCTCATTACGACCTGTAGACGCAGATGAGGTGTGAATGACCACGAATGTGTGAGAAGCGTAGGCTATACAGCATTTCCTGGAATAACGGCTGTAGAAAGTAGCTTTGATGATTCATGAGGATCAAAGAGAAGACCACATTATTTCTGACCATTATGCCAGAATTGTACTATTCCGATGAATTATGATGAGGTTAGTTTCAAATCAAACGAACATGCGGTTCCACAGCAAAAGCATGTATGACTTCACTAATGCAGGCCGACAAAAACTTTCCATTTGTATTTTCCATCAGTACTTTCACTAATGCCTTAACTGGGCAACAAGCAGGAGACTGGGTGCAATGTAAAAGCAATAAACGAGTGTAATAAACAAGAATTGACGTTTAGTGCCTTCGAACGATTATAGTATAATGGAATACCGGGGAGGAAAACTTTGAAGAAAAACTTCATTAAAAGTAGAAAGACTAGTCGGCGCCAATGGCCTCGTGGGCAGCGCGCCGACATGTAGCGCCTTCGTGTTTCGGGCGTCCCGAGTTCGAGTCCCGGCTCGTGGACCTTTCCCGATCCCAAAAGTAGAAAGAGTATATTTTGTCACCTATGGCTACAAAAAATATAATCATTTAATAATAAATAAATATTTTCACACATACACTACCTTTCAAGATAAAAAAAAAAAATTGAATACTTTCATTCAGCAAGGATGCATAAAATGATCAAAATACATTTATAATGTTACAAAAGATTTATATTTTAAATAAAAGCTGTTCTTTTGAACTTTCGATTCATCAAAAATCCTGAAAATGCATCATGTTTTCCAAAAAAATAAAGCAGCACAACTGTTTTCAACATTGATAATAATCAGAAATGTTTCTTGAGCAGAACATCAGCATATTAGAATGATTTCTGAAGGATCATGTGACACTGAAGAGTGGACGCGTTAAATATCGCATGCGATTTATCGTGCAGCACTAATTTGAACAGATATTCACAGTTATTTTAAATTGAAATAATATTTCACAATATTGCTGTTTTTAATGTATTTTTAATCAAAGAAATGCAGCCTTGGTGAGCAGAAGAAAATAAATCTTACATCTGTATGAGATTATATAGTTATACATTAAGCTTACATATAGTTTGGTCCAATTATGTATTATTAAATATAATTAATTGTACCTGACTACATATAAAATTAAGTGATAGACACAGTGATATAGTGATAGATAGGTTAAAGCAGAAGTAAACTATACACTCCCTCATATTCACATGACTGAGTAAAGGTTGTGTATTTATGACTGTTTGTCTGCAAATACTGCCCTCCCCAATGACTGATCACTTCAGGCAAAAAATAACAGCCTTCATCCATCCAGCTCACATCCATCAACAACCCTGAAGGCAAACTCCAAACAGCACCTCCTGACCCTGAAGTCATCCGGTCAAACAGAGCTGCTGTTTTGAATCAACAATCATATGTTGAGCCCAACACACATATTACTGGATAATGCTTAAGATTACAACAAAGACTCTGGGTGTTTGCATTAGGGCTGAAATGAACAGTTCACATTATCAACAACTGTCTACAAATATTATTGTTAAAGTCATTCAATCCAGTTCAAAGTGCTGATGTTGCAAAAAGAATCAAATTACAGTTCATAAAACATGATTCAGCTACAGAGCAGCTCTTCTGTTCTCATCCAATGTCAGTTCAGTCAAACTGTTTTTAAGCTCCAATAACAAATTAAGTATATTTAAATATTTGATGGGGTTAAAATAAATGAGAAGCACTGTTAAAAACAATAATACACCACAACATCAGACTTTCCTGTCTAGATTTCTCAGAGGACCCAAAAAAAGTCATTTTTGCAAACTGTGTGGGAAAAAACAGATGCCTTTGATTCAGACTGGATTAAAACTGCTCAGGACTCGCTAGTCGCTCTTTTGCCTCAAGCTGCCCATTTTGGCTTTCTCAAGCCAACATCAAAGTTTGTTCACAAACTTTAGCCTCTAGTTAGATCTTCAAAGACTTGTTTAAATGACAGAAACGCATATTTGCTGATTGCAAAAGTTTGCCTTTCTATTTTTAGACCGAACTGTAAAACAAACATCGTAAACTAATGAAGACTGAGAATGAGTGCTCCTATATTCTCCTAATATTGTCTGATATATCGGCATTCGCGGTACATCGCTCAACCACTGTACTGCATAATGTCGGCTTCATATTATTTATTCTCAAGGCTTCCAGAAAACCACCAAGAAACCGTAAGGCTACAGATACCACGAATGCAAATGTCCAATAAGTAATGTTTAGAAGATTTTTGCAGCAATTTGACCAATCCACACGCATTAAACCTCCCATAACCCTTAGTATGAACAATAGTAATAGTGATGCTTGCCTAAGCAATCACCTCTAGCAATAAACCTGCAACAGAAATAAGGAAGTTCACACTGATGGCGAGATAGTAGGTGACTCAGTGCTTTCCCATCCTCACGCTGCTTTGACTGGTGCCAACTATTCAAATGGACACCTTTCACACAAACACATTATTTATAGCATAAAGGTGTAAGAAATAATCATCAGGACACATTGTGTGATTTATAGCACTGTTCCACTCAGAACACTTCACTCCACCTGACATTACAATGATGGAGGGAGTGGATGAGTATCATCAGCATTTAGAAACTTAGGTATTACAGTAAGTCTGGTCCTCGAAATCAGCTTAACACAGTAAAGAATGGCATATAAAAAAAAAATTATAGTCAGAAAAATCTCAAGTTTATAGAACCTATAGACTAATTATTAAAAGTTTGCAAATGTGCTTTTTGTTGAGTATCATGTTTGATAAATCGGGCATTTTATGGCTCATATAGTATAATTTAGTGAGATTATGGAGCTCAAACCGCGCAAAAATATGATGTTTGGTGCAGATGCTGATATTTATGACCAAAATATAAGATAAAATTATGTCACTCTATAGCTCTAAATATGTCTTAGTAAGATGATTTTTTAAATGTTTAGTTTTATGATCAAAAAATAATGTAATGCAATACAATGATGATTGAGAGATGAACAAATAAATGTTTCTCAAAAGCCTGATGATCATATTTGATACTCTAAAAAAAGATGTCTGGAAAATGAAGTACAGCTAAGTTGCTTCAGTCCAGTTCATCTTGAAATATTACTAACAATATCAAATTGTTACATTTACTTTACAAAGATTTGACAGAAAAAATACATGTGAATCATGAGCTGTAGGTGGTTGTTTGTACAATTACACTTTTACTTGCTAAAAAAAAGTCTAAACTATCAATCAGACGACAGAAGACGGAGTAGATTGTGTGCAACAAGTTTCTCAGCAAAGTTTTAATCGCGCTGATCATTTAGAGGCCTTAGAAATGTGTGTATCAAATATGTTACTGTATTTATAGGGTTAATCCAATAAAGTGACAGGCAGAGAAATGTAGACAAATGGCTGTGTTTACAATCCAGTGCTTTGGTCAAATAAAAGAGACCACTGACAATGTGAAGACCTCTAAACATTCCCAGAAGCCAAGTGCTTGATGCCCGTTTCTTTCATTTTCTCGTGATTTCATTGGCTGTCACTCTGTCGCCCTTTGATACAGTTTGCACACTTGAAGACTAGTCTGCACATTTTAAAAATAACTATAAAATCTTTCGCAACACGCGCGGCTAGATGGAAAGAGCATGTGATCTAGTCAGTGACAAACATCTAAGGTCAAAGAGCCTATTCCACTTTATCATGACTGAAGCCACAACAACAAGAGAAAATGTGGGTGTGTAATGCAGAATGTGACTGTCAAAGTTCAGCACCTTAATCAAATGACATGTAAATGGCTCTCTTGTTGTCTTAAGTCCAGGAGCTCTAAGGTGCCGAGTAAAGTTGCTTTCTTCTCATGTAATTCTCTCGTTACATTCACACACTCATCACAAGCAGCGACGGATCCTCCTCCTCCTCATGAGAAGTTCCCGCTTCCTCCTGCAGCGTCACAGAATGATGTGTGACTCTTCCTCAGAACTGGTTAATTTGTTGTGAAAGTGCTGTAAAATGCATTTTTTATGACATTTGGTTCTGTGACTGTTTAAGCGTTTTAAATATGCAGTCGAACTGAACGCAATGAGAGAGAAAGACTGGGTGCCACAAAATACAACAAAAGCCCTATTCGCACGGGATTAGTATTACCTGGTGACCTCTAGGCATTTGTGATAATTGCGGATAGGGCTGCAAGATTAATCGAAAGTGATTGTCATGCGCATTTTGTTAGTAAAGCCGGTTCAGCAGTAAATCCTCATCACATGCTTTCAGATGGAGCAGCATTTACTACACAGAGCCGTAGTTCACTGACAAGTTACGCAAAAAAAAAATAAAAAAAATCGCAGATGATTTTATTGCGCGATTATGAAATCGAAGAAATCGTTCGCGATCACGATCACAGAACCGTGCTTCACTGAAAGATATGCATGACAATCGCAGCTTCTGTCGAATCGCAATTTCGATTCCATTTCGATTTTTCGTGCAGCCCTAATTGCGGAGGTTGTCTGTGATCTTAATCCTGTGTGAATCGGCCATGTCTGTAATTTGTAAAGTAAAAATTCCCCTGCAAATGACCTACCATATTTCGCAGAACACTGAGGTACTTTGATAATATTAGTCCCGTGCGAACTGGCATCTCTGTGATTTGGCCAGGATTTCGTACATAATTTTTTCAAGGTTTTTGTTTCCTGTTCGCGTTTTTATCCATCTTTCGCGAAGAATGGAGGCTGCGTTGGAGTGTATTTTGGGTGCTGGGTCAATAGCTATACACCATACAACTATACAATTTATGCCGTTGCCATATCGCGTCTTTTGCGTGCTCAAGTTCATTATTTCAAATGTAGAGAGTGATGCGCTCATTTTTTCCAGGCAGTCTGCGCCACAGCGAGATAAAAACATCTCAACTTTTCAGAATGCCACAAGTGCACCACAGATCATGTGACAAGAACCAACCAATCACCATCAATCTCTCCATAACAACATTGAAAGCTCAGCCAAGATGGAGGAACAGCTGATCTTAGCTGTACAGAGATAGCCATTTTTAAATAAATGTAGTATAAATTTAGTAGCAGAACTACTGTAAGTGATTTTCAGTGCTGGAAATCCATTTATCCTTCCGCGTTTTCATGGAGAGCGCAGGTAAGTCAGATAAGTCAGTAAGTTTGAGTAAAATCACAGGCTTCGCTTATCCCGTGTGAATGCGCCACACGAAATTCAGATGTGGGGGGGTAATTTCTAAATCACACAAAGTCCCAAGATAATACTACTCCCGTGCGAATAGGGCTAAATCACCAAAAATGCATCTTTGTCCTCGCTGTGACCACAACAACAAACATACAGCACAAGAAGTGCAGTCTGATTCAAAACAAATGACTCTTATGAACAGATTCATGCGAGTCAAAAACACTCCCAAATCTGACTTATATGTGCATTATGGATATTTTTATTGTTATTCATAAACGTTTGAGAAGTACAAAACCTTTAAAATAAGTAGGCTAATAATAATAATTCTTTAAAAAGATTTTAACTTCTCAAACTTTGCTCTGGTAATACTACTACTACTAATATAATAATAACAACAATAATAATAGTCTTGTAATAATAGTCTTGTAATCAAATTTACAAATAAGGATTTGAGTCAAAAACACTCACAAATTTTACATGCACATTCAGAATATTTTATACTTTATTTTATATTTATATAATTTTATATCACACACACACACACATTTTATTTTTATTATTAAGAAAAGTTTGAGAAGTTCAAAGCTTGTTAAGTAACAACAATAATTCTTTGAATTTTGGGTTCAAAACTTTTTAATCCGGTAATAATAATTGTGTAATCAGATTCACAAACTAACAACTCTTATGAATATGAATTTCATATTAATTGCATATTATTAATAATCTTTAAAAAGATTTTAACTTCCAAAACTTTGCTTTGGTAGTAATAATAACAACAACAATTTATTATTATATTGCCTTCGCGAAGAATGGAGGCTGCGTTGGAGTGTTCTGATAGTATTTTGGGTGCTGGGTCATATAGCTATACACCATACAACTATACAATTTATGCCGTTGCCATATCGCGTCTTTTGCGTGCTCAAGTTCATTATTTCAAATGTAGAGAGTGATGCGCTCATTTTTTCCAGGCAGTCTGCGCCACAGCGAGATAAAAACATCTCAACTTTTCAGAATGCCACAAGTGCACCACAGATCATGTGACAAGAACCAACCAATCACCATCAATCTCTCCATAACAACATTGAAAGCTCAGCCAAGATGGAGGAACAGCTGATCTTAGCTGTACAGAGATAGCCATTTTTAAATAAATGTAGTATAAATTTAGTAGCAGAACTACTGTAAGTGATTTTCAGTGCTGGAAATCCATTTATCCTTCCGCGTTTTCATGGAGAGCGCAGGTAAGTCAGATAAGTCAGTAAGTTTGAGTAAAATCACAGGCTTCGCTTATCTCGTGTGAATGCGCCACACGAAATTCAGATGCGGGGGGGTAATTTCTAAATCACACAAAGACCCAAGATAATACTACTCCCGTGCGAACAGGGCTAAAGCACCAAAAATGCATCTTTGTCCTCGCTGTGACCACAACAACAAACATACAGCACAAGAAGTGCAGTCTGATTCAAAACAAATTACTCTTATGAACAGATTCATGCGAGTCAAAAACACTCCCAAATCTGACTTATATGTGCATTATGGATATTTTTATTGTTATTCATAAACGTTTGAGAAGTACAAAACCTTTAAAATAAGTAGGCTAATAATAATAATTCTTTAAAAAGATTTTAACTTCTCAAACTTTGCTCTGGTAATACTACTACTACTAATATAATAATAACAACAATAATAATAGTCTTGTAATAATAGTCTTGTAATCAAATTTACAAATAAGGATTTGAGTCAAAAACACTCACAAATTTTACATGCACATTCAGAATATTTTATACTTTATTTTATATTTATATAATTTTATATCACACACACACACACATTTTATTTTTATTATTAAGAAAAGTTTGAGAAGTTCAAAGCTTGTTAAGTAACAACAACAATAATTCTTTGAATTTTGGGTTCAAAACTTTTTAATCCGGTAATATATATCACACACACACACATTTTATTTTTATTATTAAGAAAAGTTTGAGAAGTTCAAAGCTTGTTAAGTAACAACAATAATTCTTTGAATTTTGGGTTCAAAACTTTTTAATCCGGTAATAATAATTGTGTAATCAGATTCATAAACTAACAACTCTTATGAATATGAATTTCATATTAATTGCATATTATTAATAATCTTTAAAAAGATTTTAACTTCCAAAACTTTGCTTTGGTAGTAATAATAACAACAACAATTTATTATTATATTGCCGTTTTTGTTATTTATGCAAAGTTAATTTGCTTGCTAAATTGTAGCTCATTTATTTTCATTATTGTTTAGGGCTGATATCTCTCTTGAGAATGAATTGCTGTTATTTAATACATTTCCCAAAATTTGCTCTGCTGCAGAAACAGACTGGAGAGATGCATTGTCTTCAGGCAACGGTCACGTAATATACAGCCCACGTATCAATGAAAATCTAATCTCCTGTTCAAAGCAAGACACACACAACATGCTCAAGCACAGATAACACTACAATACACTGATACCGGCCGCAAGACGTCTGTGGCCACAAGATTTTCACTGATAGAAGTCAAACACGTCGCTGATATAATGCAATGGTTTCCTTCAATGGAAACAAAATGTTGGGGCTTTCTATCCAATTATGTTTCACTACAGCTTATGGTAAACGCAAAAACAACAGGCACGACGGTCACATGAAGCAAACATGCAGAGACATGCCCCGAGACAGGACACGACTGCCAGCTCCAACATGCACACAGGAGAAGAAAAACAGATATGCCATAAGAGTAGATAATGGTCAGATAATGTTTCTAAGGGCCCATATTATCATATCAACAAATCTATACCTACATACTGTGACAAAGAAACACAGTAGTGCTAGAAAACATCTTATTTAAAGGGGTCATATGATGCGATTTCAATTGTTCCTTTCTCTTTGGAGTGTTACAAGCTCTTGGTGCAAGTATGGTAGGGGTGTAACATTTCCATCACACGCTTGAGGAATTCGGCCAATCATAACGCACTGGATAGCTGGCCAATCACAGCACACCTTGCTTTTCAGACCGATGAGCTTTGTAAAAATCGACGCGTTTCAGAAAGGCGGGGCATAGAGGAGAAACAATAATGTACAGTATGTGGAAAATAATGTGTTTTTTGAACCTTAAACCGCATAAACACATTTCATTACACCAAATACACAAAATAATGTTCTTTTTAGCAACATCATATGACCCCTTTAACATTTAAACCATTAGTATGACTGCTGGAGACCCGAGGCAGTAAAGGGAAGTGGAACTTCAATAACAAGGAAAAGCAGAAGTGTCGCGTGTTGCTCTCAATACATCTGAAATGTGCACATTTCAAGTACAGTGACAAATACTGCATAAGAAAACAAACATTTCTTAGAAAAATGTACTGTGGTGATACTGTGGAACAGTGATTGTAAGCATATGTTACTTTGATACATATATCAAAATACTATAGGTGTACTATATCTGATAAGTTCACACATTTATGAGCCTTGATGTTTATAATACCATTGTGTAACATGGAAACATGTACAAATACATGGTAACACCATGGTAATTTTGCTGGTGGTCTTGACTGTTGCTCCCAAATTTGCAAAACTTTATTATTTTTGAGTAAGGTAGTATGAAAACGAACATCTCTTACTAAAATATACTGTAAAACCATTGCAATTTGATATATATATATATATATATATATATATATATATATATACACACACACACACACACACACAACATAGTATTTACATGTAATCAATATATTTCAAATACCATAGTGCAAACATATAAAATAATGTGCATGCGTGTGCAATACCATGCCACTTTTTTGTTTTGATATATTGTGGGATTTAATACATCTGAAATATGCATATATTTAATAACTGCTAATTAAATAATTAATTTATAATTAAAATAATTTTACGTGCAGCCTTAAAAAAAATCCTTGCATAAGAAATCAAACATTCTTTAGAAAAATATACTGTCCTAATATATTGATGGCAAGCCTACGGTATCTAAGTGCCACAGGCATACCATTTGCAAGCTCACATATAATACCTTGCAACATGGTGGCATTTTTTGTTTATGTTTTTTGTCTTTTGATCCCACATCAGGTTAAGTCAATGCACGTGATATTTGCATGCTTTCAATTAAAGCCAAAGACAGAAACAAGCTTGCAAACGTCCCAAACTCTCTCACCTCCACGTTTCCTCTGCGTCCTCGAGGCTCGTCTGCGTGACTCCTCGCGCTCTCGCCCCACGCATCCTCCCATGACTGTCAATCAAACGCAGGCCACATCTCAAGACAGCATCTATATTCACTCCTGCTTTGTTATTATTTGATTTCCCAAACGGAAACAGTACTGCACTTCAAATGACCACTGCGCTGTGGGTGATATAGCAGCAGTACGTGCATTAAAGGGAAGTCTAACTAGTTAACTTACAGCGGCTAGCCAAGAACACGAGCTTTATCCTGAAGTCATCAATCCAGTATAAAAAAAAAAAAAGTAAACAGCATCAGCGAGACATATAGACATATGTAGATATGTAGACTATTCCGCGCTTACTTTGTGGTGTATCAAATCATTTCTGCGTCGCAAACCTGCCTCTGCTCTTTATCTCTCGCTAGTCTACCTTCCCCCCCCCATGGCAAGCCGTTTTAGCATTAAATACTTCTTGCTGTACTAGTCATAATTTAGTTTTGACTAGTCAAAATTCCAATTCCAGATATCTATTCTGCAATTTTGACTCGTCGTAATTGGAATTAAGATATCTACAATGTGATTATGAATAGTCATTATATGCATTGAAGATATTTATAATGTTATTTTGACTAGTCATAATATACATTTGAGATATCTACAATGCTATTACGACTAGTCATACTCTTCCATTGACTTCCATTGGAAAATATTTTCAGATATCTTCAAATGGGGTTTGACTAGTAGAAATTGTAATTAAAGATATCTCTAATTGAGTTTGTACTAGGCATAATTCTAATTAGAGATATCTCAACTTACAATTCTACTAGTGATAATTAAATTAGAGATATCTCTAACTGAATTAACACTAGT